CTGGAATGCCAACGGTGCGTCGTTCAGACCATACATTGCCTTGAGACACTCCAGAGCCCACATGTTCCAGCTGCCTTGCTGTGAGGGAACATGATACGTCTTGGAATCTATGTTCCTGAGATGTCGCCAGACGTTGGCTGGTGGAATGATGTACACCTGCCGCTCCGGAGTCTTGATGCCGCGCTTGCGCAAGACATCGCACATGTCCTTGAAGGGTAGTCCCTTCAGGAAGGCGCCTGTGACGTCCCAGCTCTCGATGGTGAAGTCATATATCGCTGCCAATGAGACCAGAAGCCGCTGCGACAGTCGAGTAGCCGTCGTAGCTCGCTTAGAAAGTGATGCACCTTGACCGTCAAGAAAGCCTCTTGCACACAGCCTGCTCTTGACGATCCACTTCATCTCGCTGCCAACCTTGATCTGCTTCCACTTGCGGACCCAGACGAAATCCACTGGATCCTGCTTGCACTTGCTCATAGGTATCGGTTTCCACACAGTCGCCTCGACGAACTGCTTGATCTCCTTGAGGTCTGCCGCTTCGACCAGGTCAAAGTGTTCCGCCACGTCGTTAGGCTTCAGGATGAGCGAGTCCGAGGCCGATGCGAAGCACTCGCCAGTGAGAATGTCGAGATAAAAGCAGTGATCTTCGAGGAAGGGTCCATCGAAGGATATGTAAGCCTGGCTGCGTGTCCAGCTGCTTGGTAGTTCGTCGTCATCAGTAAGATTGAAACCCTCGACGTCTGAGCAGAAATATTCAGCTATGAGCGCCTGCTGCTCCGTCATAGAGTTGTGATACTCGCCCCCGTAGTCCTTGAGCTCGGGAACTAAGTCGATGCGCTTGGTGAAGTACTGCTGGTGCTCAATCAACTCCTGCCAAGCTGAGCAGTAGAATACTTCAGACGATCCAGAGTAAAGGTCCTCAGACTCGATGCCATGGGCAGAACGAGACCTGTCCTCATATTCAGGGTTGTAATCGATGGTCTTGTCTTCGTCGTCGTCCTGAGGCTGCTGCTGAGGGTACTCGATCGTCGCGTCCGGTGAGCTCTGCTGCAGTGGAAGGTGAACCGATCTAGTCCGTTCGTCGTCGTGCTGAGGATACTCCAGAGTCGGTTCTGCAGCTTCAGCTGCTTGATCAGAGTGAGATGGATACTCAATTGTAGGTTGATCAGCTGCATCCTGTGCTCGATTCGTGTCCGTGTCGAGCCTGCGAGACCTGCTCCGATCATGGTCGTCGACAGGACCGGTGCCTTCACCTTGAGTTGCTTCGGCGATAGGCAACACAGGACCCTGCTCGCCCGACGATGCTGCCGCCTGTGACCCGCTCGATGGTGCTGACGATGAGCTCATGCCTGAGTTGTCGAACTTGACACGCTGATCTCTTCGTTCACGCATGCCGCGTTTCAAGATGGATGTCTGTGTCCGAGATCTGTCATCGTCACGTTCACGCGCTTCTGCCTCTGAGATCACAGGGTCTGATATAGACGCGTCCAAATCAACTGGTGAGCCAGGAAGTGCAACTTGTCGCCAGTCTGGTGATGCTGGAGTCTGAGGTGCTGGAAATATCGGTGTCGTCGGAATCTGCTGCGGTGGTGCAGCTGCCTTTGGTGAAGTCGAAGTTCGACTTGGTGCTGGTCGTCGCGGAACAAACTCTTCATCAGATATGCTGATGTCGTGATCTGCCACCACAGCTCGCTTTTGTCCACCGTCTGGCACAGGTCGACCTGGATGATCATCTGGAGGTCGAGGAGGCGCAGGTGGCGCCAAGATAGAGGTACCAGACCTTGACACTGTCTCAAGCGTGCTATCCATGTGCTGCGACTGGTCATTCGGTGAGAAAGCCGACCGTGGCAGCACTGGCTGTCGAGGTATCTGTGGTGGTCGTCCTGGAAGCTGAGGTGATTGAGGAGGCTGTGGTGGTTCATCTACTTCCATGACCGTGTCGTCATAGCCTGGAGGCTTCCACCACTCCGTCGGAGTCGGTGATGGTAAAAACTGCGTGGGAGGTGTCCAGGGCGCATCGTCTACCTGCTCAATGCTCGAGATGTCCGAAAGATCTGGTACTGCGTCCTGAACAACCGTGTCCTCGTACTGCTCTGAGACATAGATGATAAACGAGTAATTGCTCGGCGTGTCTGGCAGGATGGTCGCCAGCCGCAGAGTATGCCTCAGGTCCACTTGTCGTACTTGGTAGCTGAGTCGATCTCGTCGAACCCATGCTAGGATAACTCCTCGATTGATGCCGTGATAGGTATTGATGTTGTGCAGTTGCGTGCCGAACCTGATGGCCCTTGGGGCCGCCAGCTGTAGCAGAGACTCGCCCACTTGAGCTGCCAGATGAAAGACCTCGGGAGTGTTAATCTCGAAGTCGTTCGGCACAACAATCTGCATGCCGTTGGCGTCGTGAACCATTCCAACCGTGATCGTGGTGCCTGGTGCCTGGCCATCAACAATGTCAAGCAATCCGTGCAATGTCGTGTACATATCGTCATGCATGTTGTCCTGCCATCTGCCTTCTCCGTCCATCAGCATGTGAGTCGGTGGGCATGCCACTGTGACTGCGTACGATCGTGCCTGATGTGGTCGCACATGCCTGAGCGGAACGATGTATGGCATGGACTGGTGTTTGACGATCGCCACGTTCTCCTTCAGGTTGATGTCCAGTAGGTCGCACGGTCCTCTCCACCCGGGCGCGTCCTTGCGATCAGGTACTCGGTACAGATCAACAAAGTCTTGCAAGGGTCGTAGCTTGGCCACGTCCGAGAGGATCTGCACCTTGGTGTTGTTGGCCTCTGCGATGCGCTGCTCGATAACTGCTTTCTGAACTGCCGCCTTGGCCATCATCCTGAGCCTGAGGTAGGACTCGAAGGTGTCTGGTGTCGTGTCGCGCGCGCCGTCGATGGCAAGAGTGGAGTTGGAGCCGTGATCAAAGAAACCACGAGGATTCTGTCCTTGCAAGCACTGAGATGGTGTATATCCACCGTATTCTAGCATAAAGTTCTGGCACATCGTGCACTCGAACACTATGTCTTCGTCGGGAACCACGAGACCTTGCTTGGCCGCACTGGCCTTGCACTTCAACGACGATGTCTTGATGAGACCGATGTGTCGTTCTGCGAGCCCCGTAACTGTGTGCTTGCCTGAATCATCCGAGCCGCCCAGCTGTCTGTGCATGCTGTAGCGGTCGCACACCACTGCAAAATCGTCAGAGCGAACGCCGCCTTCTTGATCGAACTTGATGCACTTGGGAGGTCCGAAGTATCGAAACCAAGATCGTAGCATTGCCTGTGCTATGTGGAACGCGTCCTTCTTGGGTAGTACTTCGGCCAGCTTCCATCTAATCGCCTCGTCGACCATGAGCAGGAAGGTCTTACCGAATATGAAGAAGAGATCGCACACCATGACTTCGCCAAACCAGCCTGCCAACTCTGCTCGATACTTGGGCTTAGTCGCTATGGGTGCCCAGTCGTTGCACTCTTCGCACGCCGCAATGACCTGCTTGGCCAGTTCCAGACACTTGTCCGGTACACCGAGCCGCCTGAGAAACTTCTCCATGCCTGGTAGCTGCTCGTGCCAAAGTCGTTCATGAAGGCCTTTCAGCAGGCGGAACCGTTCGGCGTCGGACTCCGTCTCCTTCAGCTGTTGCCTCAACTTGGTGAAGTCGAAGCTCGGAGGTGTGGTGATGAGCTTGAGCCTCGGTAGGATCCTCCGCTCAGCGTCTTCCTCCATTGTGGGTGGTGGCGCATGACCTTGAGCCACGATAAGCCACTTGTGTCCTCGAATACCGTGATGCTGCTGTGCTGGAGTGAGTCCGTCAAGCCGTTCTAATGCCGAAGATTCCCACTTGTCGATGTCTGCGCCGAGAAAGGTAACTCGAAACGGGCTGTCATCTATCGAGGTGGTGTTGGATGTCTCCAAGCTGTTCGGCTGAAACGTGATGTGCAGTGAGTCGACGTCCATCAGTGGTCTCAGGAGCTCGATCAACATTTGAGTGGTGCCGTCAGTGTTGTCTCCCAGGTCGAGCTGCTGCTGAGTGTTGGGTGCTGTGAGTATTCCTGTGTGCTGTCCTGCCAGATCTGCAAGAATGCGAGCCAACCATATCTGATCCAAGTTCTTCAGCTGCTCGTGAATGTTCATGGTGAAATCGTCTACCTTGACTCGCCGTAGCCGGTCGTAGGCCAGCTTCATCTTGACTGTGCCGTTGGCTGGTCGCTGTAGTGGTTGTATTTCTCGCGTTGCAGGAACTACGGCTGCTGCTGGTGCTGCTGCTGAGCTTGATGCCGAAGCCGAATTTGATGGTGGTTGTAGGATGTTCTCGTCAAAATTTTCTAATGGTCGTGGATCGGGTACTGGATCCGGTGGTGCTAGCTGTTGAGGTGGAGCTGACGCTGCTGGTGCTGCTGCTGCCTTGGCCGCTGGTGCCTTGGCTGCTGGTCGTGTCAACGTCCGTCTGGGATCTGCTTTGGGTGCCAGTTTGCAGTTCCCTGGAATTCTGCTGTGCTCACGCTCGCCGCCGTACTTGCACTTAGGGCAGGCCCAGAAGATCTCCGTGTCGTTCTTCTGAGTATGTAGTCCAGTACTGCCAAAACCGTTCTTGCCGCGCTCGGTCTCGTCCTCGTCGATGTGGTCATTGAGCTGTACTGGTGGAGTCTGGATCTGCACGATCATGAGCTGAGCAATCCTGTCGCCACTCTGGCATACAAAGCGAGACTTGCCACGATTTTCCAGTATCACAATGAGCTCGCCTCTGTAGTCAGCGTCGATAACTCCTCCATTGATACCGAGACCTTGCCTCAACGCCAGGCCCGACCGAGGCCATAGCTGGCCAGCAGTGCCTGCTGGAAGTGCCAGCTTGAGCCCGGTGTGAAATCCACGCCATTGTCCAGGTTCCAGAAAGCCGTCAGTAACCGTAGTGATGTCATATGCCGCCGCACCGTCGCTGCCGAGCTGTGGTGCCGTCGCCTTAGGGTGAAGTAGCTGAACTCGCACTGCTTCTGTGTTCGGGCCTCCGTGATGTATGTCGATGTTGCTGTACACGAGCGTCGCCAACATCAGAGCGCAGGTGAACTTGCGCGCGAAGGAGGTGATGTCGCTGATGAGTGCCCGGCACATCGTGCGAGTGTATACTGCAGTGAGAGCTGCCGTCTTGGAGCTCGTGCCTGGTACTGAGCCCTCAATAACTGCGTGTCGTTGAACTCCATGACCAGGGCATCGTCGAATGGTCTTCTTCAGCTGTATGTTGGCGTCGAGCCTGTAGGGCTTCTCCAACGGTTCGTTGTTAGTGTTCACACAGCCGTGAGCACATCCATCGACTCGCCGAGTCCTGTTGCTGACGATGTCCTGATTCTGCTTTAGCGGTGACTGTGTCCAGAGCTGGGAGCGCAAGCCGTTCTCGTTGATGTAGCCATGTCCGTCTTGATATTGGACGACGTTGTCGTGATGAAGCCACTCCAACATAGGAAACTCTGCTTGTCGTCCGGCTGCTGCAACTCCAGATCCTCGCATGTTGCTCATGGCTGTCCATAGCCTGCAATCTGGAGATGAGAGCTTAACTATAGGCTTGAAGACGGTCTGACCCTTGCTCACCAGCTTCCGATGCTCGGGGTTCCTGAGGTCCCAGCCGTATCGGTGGGAAGAGCACTGTGAGTCCGGACCTTATTGCTGATAGCGAAAGCCTGCCTGATCCAGACCACTGCTCTTGAAAGGCCCAGACTACTTGAAGGCCATGATGAATGTGAAACCACTTGTCGAAACTGTCTGGAGTCACAACCTCGTAGCCTGTCTTGGTGTAGAACTCCTCTGGGATGTCCTTGTATCTCTGTTTCAGCCACGCCACGTGCTCACTGGAGAGGTAGTCTGGAAAACTGTCCTCCATATAAACCTGGCCGCCCCAGTGCCGAAGCATGCCGTGGTGTTCAGCTGTTCCTGTGAATATCGCTGCCCTGGTATGTACACTGTCCGCTGGTGCTTCTTGTGTGGTGGTGCTGCCGCCCCTCGGTGCCGAGGATGTTGATGCCATGAGGTGTGTCTTCTGCGGAGTTGAACTCTGGTCCTCCTGGGCGCAAGAGGAAACAAATGCCGCAGTATCTGCCTTGAGGATCTTGGCGTTGATGTTCTTCACTGTGTGCATCAGCATCTCGACCACTTGTGCTGAAACAGCTGGTTCCTCGCGCTGCTGACCTTCGGGATCGTCCGTCGGCAACAGGTAGTGGCTGCTGTCCGTGAGAAGAACTCTGACCACATGCACGTCCGACGGATCACTGTCGGAGGCCAGCACGAGAGCTCCATTGCCGTCGTCTGTGAGTCCATGCACGAGTAGAGCTCTATAGTGAACCAGAGGAGGCAACGGCAGCAGGAACGGGCAGTTGGAGCCGCTCTCGCCAATGAGATCGCCGTGCCAGACCAGCTCGAGACGCGAGCACCGAGCCTTCTGTGCCACATGTCCCAGTCCAGAAGTGGGTCTGCCATTGATGCCCGTGAAGCTGCCTGATCCTGGGGTGATCTTGTAGTTCTGAGTATCCTTGCCATTGTGCTGCAGTAACGTATCTGTGCCGCAGATGCCAGAAGCAGCTCCAGGGTCGATGATGAATCCCTTGCGCTGTCGACCTCTGACGAGATGGTACGCCTCGAAGGTGTCCTCGCGCTCGCTGAAGATGCTGAGGACAAACGCTGAGTTGTTCTTGTCGATCGAGCTCGAGCTTGCTTCTGCTCTGCTGGTCGATCGTGCTGCGGGTAGATCAGGGTGCTGCTGCTGAATAGGTAGGCCCAGCCCGAACATGGCATGCTTCGCCTCGTTCCGAAAGAACTTTGAGACCGTAGCCTCGCCGAAGTCGAAGATGCGCTCCTGTGTGGACTTGTCGTCCGAGATTGTGGTATGAGCGTCCGAGGCCTGCTCCGAGGGAATATTCTGCCAGGAGCCGGCGTCGCTCGAGTGCGGCCGAGTAGGAGGTCGAGGTGATGGCTGCCATGGATCTGAATGCTGTTCGAACCAGGGATCCTTGCCGTCATAGCCTGCGATGTCATCTTCAGTGGCCATGCCGTGAGTTTCCTCCTCGATTCTCGCTTCTTCCTGCCTGGTTGCAGTCAGGTGTCGTTGTCCTGGTGCTGCTCTTGGATGTCGGGAGATGCCGTCGAAGCCGTCAGATGGTGTCGAAGGGAGTGGCAGCGTGATGTCTGTCGCCGTCGTGTCCTTCGCGATGTTTGTGCCGAGTCCGACCAAGAAACCTTTTCTGCTGGAAGCCTTGTTGACTGGACAATCCTTCACGCTGTGCCACCGGCTGCCACACTTGTCACATCCAGAGCTTGATCCTGAGCCACGCGTGTTGTGTACGGCCGATCCTGCTGGAGCTTGAGATTGTTGTCCAGATCCTTGGTGTAAATCCATCACAGGGCCATGTCGATCGTCCGAGCCTGTACCTTTGCCCTTTTTGCCTTTGCCTTTGCCCTTACTCTTGCCCTTGTTGCCATAATAGTCACGTCCTCGCCGATCCTTGCCACCTGCCTTTC